GGTTCTGGCCAGTTAAGTAGAATTGGGGAGATTTCCCAGTCTATTGGGGGCTACAAATGCGACAGTCTTTACTTTGAGAACACAGAGCAGTTTCTTTCACTCACGTTTATGTGCTAAATTTAAAATCTGTTTGTCAGTCTCTTGGTTTGCAGTAGCAACAGCTCTGCCCACCATGGTGAGCGTCTTCCTCCGGCTTGCTTCAGAGCGAGCTAATTAGGTCTCCCAGTGAGACCTTCTCACTGGAACCTCAGCTCAAGCCCCCTGCCCCCCACTGCTCCTACCCCTTTAAATCCAAAGAAACAATCAGTCGCTTGGAGCTCAGCTCTCAAGCGACTGCTGGTGCTGTGCTTTCCTGCCCGTCTCTATTGTCCCCAATTTTCAAAGGTGACTCAGCTGTTGCTCTCAGGATTGAATCCTTCACGTGCCTCTTCAAGAATCTTATTACTATTTCCCCAGGCAGATTATTTTTCTTTATATATCCGGAATACAACCTATAGGCCACATCCATCTCGCTCATCAACAACTCTGCCTTCAAATCTGTCACTGGGGCCAATGCTTCGCTCATCGTTTGCTTCAGATTCTCGCCCTTAGTCTCTGGGACACCTTGGAAACGAAGGACCCAGTTTGGCTTCTCCATTTGTAGTTGTAAAAGCTATTCTTCTGTAGACACTTGCTTCTTTTCCAATTTTTGCACCTTTTTCTTCACTTTTTGAGCAGTGGCGTCAACTTTCACTTTCTCAGCTGTTTCTTCCGTAATTTTGAGAGTCTCATTCAGTTCTGTCTGCTGAGTAGTGATACATTGGTTCATTGTTGACAACTGTTCCTTGAGAGATTAGTCATCTGGTCCAGCAGGGGGCACAGGGACTCTGCCAACGTTTTGGCGAGCTTGGTGGTTCCTTCCGGTCGTGGGCTTTCAGCTACTTTCACTTTTAAAAGTTTCTCCTTCTCAGTCCTCTTCCCCACCATCTTTATGGATTGTTTACTTTCGCAAAAAAATTTAAAGTCTCTGAATATGTGCTCATACTCGCCTTGGTAAGTCTTTCCCAACAGATTTTAACGCTTTTGCTTCTGCTTCCCCCCCCCCGGGTCTCGCTTTTAAGTTTATGTGCAAGGGAGGGGCCCCTCCCCCACTCGCTTTACTTTTAGTCCGTGGGGTGGGGAGCTTTCTTTTTCAATAGTAAATACGCTTTAGTCCGAATCACTGTTCATATTTGGTCATACGACCTCGCTTAGCCTCCGTTTTAGCCGCTCGATTTCCAGCACTTGTTCCGGTCAGCGTCACTAGTTCCGTTTGGACACTCAGCAGAGGGACCCTCAGGACAGAGAAGCGCCTCGATTCCCAGCATTGCACTGGTGAAGAGGCGACCTCTCAGAAGTCCCCTGGCCAGGAGCCTTTCGCCAGGCTCCTGGGGGGGTAGCGATGCCTGTCAATTATGGACATAGCAAGCACTTTTAGTCTTTATTAAATTTCCAGGTCGGCTCTACCATTTCACCCCACTTATTATAATGGGCCTCCTGCCTCCGTCCTAATGGAGGGGAAAATTGAGATCGCAGAAAGGGTGGGGACTTGCTAGCTCTTTATATATCCACAAATCTTATATCCTAGCTTCATGTGTGTTCATGTGATTATTGCAGTAATTTTTATTAAACTAGGGGCAGGTATTCCTTATGTCTCCACCAGATGTCGGTATAATATTCTAATATTACAGAATTACAAGCATGAACTCTCCCTCGAAGCTAAAATGACTTAACTGGAGCGATTATATTTTGGTCACATTATGAGAAGACTCATTGAAAAAGGCAATAAATGCTAGGAAAAGTTGAAAGCATCAGGAAAATAA